CGCTGTCCCCCAGCCTGGGAGCAGCCTGGAATTAGCGCTCCTCCACCGGTCTGGAATATCCCTGGAATCACCGGGTGTCCCTGGATTGCAGAGAGGAAAGGAGGAAAAGAAACCTTTGGGGGAAAGAAGAAACCCCCGGGCTTGGGGATGTGCTGGGGCTGGAGCTGGATCTGGGAGCTGCAGCCCAGCCCGAGGGGAGAACAGAGATGGAGCCTGGAGTGGCTTAAACCCAGTTTAAATCGGGAATAAACCCACCTGAAATCGGGAATAAACCCATCCTAAATCCAGGAGAAAACCCACCTTAAATCAGGGAATAAACTCATCTTAAATAAGGGAATAAACACACCTAGATCCAGGAATAAAGCCACCTTAAACCCGGGAATAAACCCATCCTAAATCAGGGAGCAAACACATCTTAAATCTGGGAATAAACCCACCTTAAATCCCGGAGCAAATCCTGTTTAAATCTAGGACCAAACCCAGTTTAAGCCCAGGAGCAAACCTAGCTTAACCCTGGGACCAAACCCAGCTTAACCCTGGGACCAAACCCAGCTTAACCCTGGGACCAAACCCATCTGCTTAACCTTGGGACCAAACCCAGTTTAACCCTGGGACCAAACCCATCTGCGTTTGCTTTCCACGAGCGCTGGAGTGGCAGGAGAAGCTCAGCCCGAGTGAGCAATCCCTGAGCTCGGTTTAAACCTGTTTGGGGAGGAAAAAACCCCAGAAGGATTCAGCGGATATTTGGTTTTCTGGGCTGTTTTATGAGTAGTTTGCTCCTAAAAACAGGAGCAACTTCCCAGGTGCTCTGGGAAACCCTGGGATGGGCTGGGGGGTAACGAGGTGGTGCCGATGCGATTTCCAAAGATTTTTATTTTAGGTTTAAAAGTGTGAGGAAGTTGTTGAGGGTGGAGTTCGGGTGATCGGTGTTTAGTCCCGGCTCAGAGAGTGGAAGCAGAGCAGCGATTTCATGCGAGGAAGTTTTGTTTTCAGCAGAGGAAAATCCATCCCTCGGGTTTTTATGGGCAGCAAACACCCCCTGAGAGGCGTCAAAGGCAGATTTGTACAAGGAGAAAGTTCCTTTTCCAGGGAATCTGAACTCATTCCTTGGCTTTCCTCTAACTCCGGCTGCTGGGACAGGGCTGGGAGTGGGAAAACCGAGCTGTCCCTGCTGTGCAGGAGCTGCTGGATGGGTACAGAACATTTGGATCGCTCTCAGGGTGATGCTGCATTTCCCTGCTGCTCCCACCCGCCTTTCCCGGGATTTTTGAGTTATCCCAGAGCTGCTCTGCCGGGTCTCTCCCTCTCCTGCCTGCTCCATCCACCCAAATCCAAGGAATGAGGCCCCACGGGCTCTCTGGGAAGCAGCAGGTGACGGACGCTCAGCTCCAAAAGGGAAAAAATATTAAAATCTCAGGAATTTATTACAGCCAACTCCACGGGATGGGAGTCCTGCTGCCGGGAGACAATTCCTGGAGAGTTCTTCTGGTGTTTTTCCTCCCAAGACCATTTGAAAAGCCTGGACTCCCTTTGGGTGTGTTATCCCTAATTATCCTGCCCCTGGAAGCAGCAATTTGCCATCCCGGTGCCGTAATTCCATTCCCAGCAATTATTGCGGATGCTGCATGAGAGAGCGATGATTCCAGAGGCAAACAGGCAGCGGGATCCAATCCAGCCTTGGAAAATCAGGTTTCCTGCAGCAATTCCTGCCTGATCCCTGCCTCACTCTCATGCAATGTCCTCCGTGGAGTTGTTTTTTGATTTCCTGCTGCGACCAGAGCCAGGGAAAATTTCAGCCTTGATCTGTCTGGGCATTTTTAATTTTAAATTAAAAAATTTTAATTCGATTTGTCCCGTTTGTTTTCCCTTAGGTTGGGACGGTTTTTTTCAGTCGCTGTTCTGTTAATCCCTGGATATTTTCACCCAGGTTTATTTAGGAGTTTTCACAAATGTGGAGTTCTAACACCATAACACCTCCGCTATTTATTCCCTGAATTTTTTGGGGAGGCAGGGACAGAGATATATTCAGCTGCTGTGGATGCTGATTTTTTTTTCCTGGATGCTGCTCTGTTAAAAATTGGAATTCTATCAGTGATTATTCCAGCTCTTCCAGCTCAGTTTTAAGCAGAAAACCCAGAATTTACGGACAATCCCAGGGTGGAAATCAAAGGGGAAACAAAAGCTGGATGAGAGGAGAGCCCCTGGAGGTGTGTTTGTTATTAATACATTAATTAAGAACTCCAAACAAGGCTATGAGGGATCAATCAGCGCGTCTTAATTACCTTTAATCATCGTCTTTAATCACGCTTGGTGCAGGTTCAGGGCCGTGGTGACAAAAGGAGCTGAGGCCAAATCGTGCTGGTGAGGGACAAATTGTCACCTGGATGGGGGGAAAAATTCCCTGTGCCAGGGAAAGCGTGGATTTACAGCTGGCCTGGGTTTTCCAGGAAAAATCCCGGAATTTTGGTGGCTGCAAGGCAAAGGCCGAGGGGAGAAAACGTGGAATGGGGATCTGGGCTCGGTTTGCAGATCTGGGGGGGATTTGGGACATCAAATGCTGGGGATGGGGAATGTCCAGATGGAGTAAATTCCTTCCCGGCGCTGAAATCAGCAGGGAGGAGTTGGAAGGTTTTGCATCAGAGCCTTAGGAAATGGATTTCCCCTCAGGAAATGCACTGGGACATCCCTGGAATTGTCCACATCCAGGCTGGGAGGGCTTGGAGCAATCTGGGATAATGGGAAGTGCTCAGGGATGAGCTTGAAGGTCCCTTCTGACCCAAACCATTCCAGGGTTCTGGGATTCCCTTCCCAATCCGCTCGGTGTGACAGGGAATATTGTACAGCTCATCCCACGGAACAGGGATCCCGAGGGAAGGGTGAATATTCCCACAAAGTGTCCCTGACTCCAGGAAAAACCTGCTGGTGAGGGAACCTGGAAGCTCCTCTCCGTGGAAAACAAACCCAAGCCCTTCAGGAAAAACCTCTGGAATTCCAGTGGATGGCTGGGAGAGCCTGGGGCCCTCTGCAAAAAAACCAGGGATTTGGAGCTGGAGGATTTCTCCAGGGGGAGAAGAAATTGGAAGTATCCAAGGAAAAAGGTGGTGGAAGGAGCGGGATTGAAGTTGTTGTGTAATTCCTCCAGTCCCCGAATCCAAGGATGCGCGCTGTGGGAAAAGGGACTTTGGAAAATGTGTCCTTTCCCAGATTTTTAGAGGACGAGCCACACATGACTGCCCCTCCTGACCTTCCCTGCTGGGTTCCAGCACTGCTTCTTTCCATGTGCTCCAATTTTTTCCAGGCTCAGATGGAAAACTGGGCTTTTTGAGCCCAGCCTAGATGTGCTGAGCTTGTCTGGGAGGAACATTCGCAATCCCAGCGCCATCCCAAGGATGCAGCTCCACGGAGAGGAGTTTATAAACCCTGTCCCGCCTGTTTTTCCTTCCTGTTCTTCCTTTCAGTGATCCCAGCAGGGTCACAGCAGGAAAATGGGAATTTCCAAACCTCTCCCAGATGAGAATGAGGGGTCCCAGCTTTGGCTTCTCCCAGAATTCCCACCTGAGATTTTCTACAGCTCAGGATTTCAAACTGAGTGGAAGATCAGGATTTAAATTCCCAATTTTTTAGCCAGAGATGGACTTTTCCTTTGTTTTTTTATCCAAGCACTGCAGCTTTCCTTTGTTATTTTATCCAAGCTCTGACCCACTCCTGTTTAATTTTTAAGGAGCTTGGCTGAGCTCTGCCTGCAGTGGGATGTTGGGAATTGCAGGGAACGCTCCCAACACCTGAATCCCAAATATCCCCACAGCGCATCCAGCTCCTCCTGCCACATCCTCATCCCCTGGAGCTCCGGCAGCTCCCTCAGCTCTCCCTGCATTCCCGATTTCCCCCGGTGCATCTCCACCCAGCCACGTGAGACACCTACTCCCCATCTGCACATTCCCAAAGCAGCTCGGCACATTTGTGATTCCTCCCGGGAACTCCTCCTCTCCCCCAGGTTTTCTCACCCCAGGAGAAAGCCCAGCCACCGATGGAGGTGGATGGCTCCCGGAGACAAGGAGTTTTTCCAGCGCTGTGGGCTGGGTGTTTGTGATTCCAAAGCCCCCGGATTATTATGGGAATCTGATCGTCAGGTGATGGGAGCAAAAATTGCTGGGCATTTCTTCCAGTTTCACCAGGATTTGCTGTGGGATTTGGTGCTTTAAATCCCCCTTTTTTTTTTTGTAGGTGATGTTTCCAAGTTTCCCCACCTGATAAACGCCTACTCTGAACTCCACTCTGACAAAAAAATATGGAAAAATATTCCTGGGAATCAAGCACACCACAGGAAAGGGGTGTTGGAAATTCTCCACCTTTTTCAGAATGGCTGGTGAAATTTATTCCAGCTTCAGATCTGCTCAGCTGTCCTGGAGCTGCCCACTGCAGCTTGGATTTCCTGCAGGAAAAAGGGATTTTGGGGATAAAAACCAGTTCAGGGTGAGAGCAGAGGCTGCAGGAACACAAAAAAAAATCATCTTGAGAGATGGAAAAAAGGAGTTTATTCCTTCTCTGTGTGAAAACCCTGACCTGGTGGGGAAGATCTGAGATGTGATCCTTTCTGTCTCCGAGCTCAGGGATTTTTTTTCCAAGGGTTTTTCCATTGTTGTGGAAAGTTTTATTTCCTCCCCTGATCCCAGTTCCAACCCCAACACCTTCCACTATCCCAGGTTGCTCCAGGCCCCGTCCAACCCAGCCTTGGACACTTCCAGGGATGGGGCTGCTCTGGGAATTCTCTTCCAGAGCCTCTCCACCCTCACAGGGAAAAATCCATCCCAGTTACGCCCAGCCCTGGATCCTGTGGAAATGAAACGGAACCTGGGATCTGCTGGGATGAGCGCTGGGGTTCTCCCATTGTGCAATTCCTTTGGATTGGGAACGGATCCCATCCCCGGCTGAATAATTCAACCCCAAATCCTGAGCAGAAGAGAAAATGGAAGAGGCTGTAAAAGTCCGCTTTGACTTCACTCTTCCTGCCTCTCTTTTCCTTGAATTTTTAAATTTTTTTAATTTTTAATTTTGAATTTTCCTTCTAGGAACAAGATGCCCGTGAAGTTTAACCTCTCCTAAGAGGGAAAAAACCACGGAGAAAGAAAAAAAACCTAAAAGATCATGGATCCTTTGTACTTCTCCAGCACTTTTAGCACGGAAGCCTCTCCTGGCGAGGCGAACTCCTCGCTGCCGCCCAACGCGACGGAGAATGGGACGCTCCCGGAGCCGCCCCCGTTCCAGTACATCCACAAGGTGCTCATTCCCATCTGTTACCTGCTGGTGTGCGCCGTGGGGCTGAGCGGCAACGCCCTGGTCATCTACGTGGTGCTGCGCCACGCCAAGATGAAAACGGTCACCAACATCTACATCCTCAACCTGGCTGTGGCCGACGTGCTCTTCATGCTGGGCCTGCCCTTCCTGGCCACCCAAAACGCCATCTCCTACTGGCCCTTCGGCTCCTTCCTCTGCCGGCTGGTGATGACCGTGGACGGCATCAATCAGTTCACCAGCATCTTCTGCCTGACGGTGATGAGCATGGACCGGTACCTGGCCGTGGTGCACCCCATCAAATCCACCAAGTGGAGACGCCCCAGGGTGGCCAAGCTCATCAGTGCCACGGTCTGGACCTTCTCCTTCCTGGTGGTGCTGCCTGTCATCATCTTCTCGGACGTGCAGGAGGACTTCCAGACGTGCAACATGAACTGGCCGGAGCCGGTCAACGTCTGGTCGGCGGCGTTCATCATCTACACCTCGGTGCTGGGCTTCTTCGGGCCTCTGCTGGTCATCTGCCTGTGCTACCTGCTGATCGTGGTCAAGGTCAAGTCCTCGGGGATCCGCGTGGGCTCCACGCGGCGCCGCCGGTCGGAGCGGAAGGTCACCAGGATGGTGGTGATCATCGTGGTGGTCTTCGTGTTCTGCTGGCTGCCCTTCTACACCATGAACATCGTCAACCTGATCCTCATCCTGCCCGCTGACCCCATCCTGGAGGGGCTCTACTTCTTCATGGTGGTGCTGTCCTACGCCAACAGCTGCGCCAACCCCATCCTCTACGGCTTCCTCTCCGACAACTTCAAGCAGAGCTTCCAGAAGGTTCTCTGCCTCCGGAAAGGTGAGGGAGCGGAGGATGGAGAGCCCGTGGAGCACAGGCAGGAGAACAGCAGCCGCCTGCAGGAGTCCATGCTGACCCAGAGGAACGCGGATGCCAACGGGCACATGCAGACCAGCAAGGTCTGAGGGCACGGCCTGCACTGCAGGGTGCCCCGGAGGACTCGGGGACTTCAAGGAGAGCTCAGTCAATGTGAAAGGACGATGTGGAGCCCCAGAAGCTCCAAGAAATGCACACAGAGGGCTCTTCCCTGCTTTCCCCCGTTGGAAGTGCCAATCTCTCGTGGCGTCCTGTTGGATCCGACATTTGGGACCGCTTTGGGTCCTCCAGGGAACGATTTCCAGGCTTTGTACCCCTCTAGCGATGCAAACCAATGCTAAGCCAGCCCTAATTCCCTCGTTAAGCTGGGTTTAAGGCTGCTTTGCACTGCTGGGATCAGCTCCAAGCAGCAAATATCTCAGCTGGGATCTTTGGGAATTCTTCAAGGGGATTTCTGAAAGGAAAATGAGATTTATTCAGAGTTTCATGCAAAAAAGGTGCCAGCACTGCTCTGGAAATGGGCTCTGATGTGCTGGAACCTTGCTGTTGCGATGTCACTGCCGATGGCCGCGGGCTCCTGGGGAGATTTGGGGTCCATTCCTTGGTTCTGAGTGTCAGGCTGGATTTCAAACTGCGATTCCAGAAATTAAACCCAGCTCAATCTCCTCCTGACTGGTGCAGTGGCCAGGGCGGTGTTTGCACCTCGATCCTGGAGGTTTTTCCAATTTTAATGATTCTGTCATTCCATTCATTCTGTTGGATGTGACGCTTGTGTTACCAAACCCAGGAATTCCCAGGATACACCAAGACACAAGCACAGGATGTACCCAGAGCCTGGGGCAGGGCCCATGAGTAATTTACTCACAGGTTTCTCCCAGTAGCAGGCAGTGCCCACCTGCCCTACTCCACATTTCAGCTCCCAGCCCAGCCAGGTTTAGATGATTAATTAATAAAATTAACTTCTCTGGTTGGTTCGGTGTGAGCTGGGCTGTGATTCCCTCAGTTTTCCACCTGAAATTATCCCTCTTAGGAGCTCCGGAGTGGGAAATGCCTGGAAAGCTCAAGGCTGGGACAGGAAAATCTGCCTTGGGAAGAAAAGGGATTTTAATAAATTCAGATTTCTGGGAAGGAGCTGAACCCTGGCTTGGTCAGAGCGAAGAGCGTTTCTCCCCTCCTTCCATGGAATTTGATCAAATCCTTGGAATTAACCAAAGGAAGTTTTATCCGGAGGGAACAGAACCTAAATAAAGAGGGGGATAAACCTGAACCTTGTTTTCCACACGGCCCAGAACAATCCCATCTCTTTTCCCACTCTCCCAGGTCAGGACTGGGATCCCAATTCCCAGAGAACAGAAATTTCAGCCAGCCCATCCAATATTCCCATTGATAATGCTGCAATCCATCGTATTTAAGGAGGAAATTCAGGACAGCTCCCAATGTTTCAATTCCCAGGAAAATTCCCTTTCCAACCAACAGCTCCCCGTGGAATTCAGTGCCATGGGAATTCTGCTTTGGAAGAGGTCTTTTTTTCCCTGGTCCAAGGAATTTTTTCCGGGATCAGCTCCTGCAGATCATCTCTCCCAGTCCCACACAACCTTTGCTCCATGGGATTCCTTCCCCATCCCCCCCAAAAAACCTTTCCTTGGACCCACTCTGTGCCTTTGGAAGCTCCTCTGGTTTTTCCCTGAATCCCAAACGCCATTCCTGGGCTTTTCCTGTCAGCTTGGCAGTGGAATTTTGAGGAGCCAGCCGAGCTGCCAACGTCCCTGCACGCATTCCATCAAAACATGTCATCCTTCCACAAAGACTGACAAATTCCCGGGAAAAATCTGTCCTCCCAGCCAGCCCTTCCCAGGAAGCTCCAGACAGCATCGACACTCCCCAAATCCCCTTTTTCTTTTTTTTTTTCACACATTCCAACCCCAATCCCTCAGCCCCAGGGATTGAGTGACATTTTTAATACCTCGACAGACAATCCTTCCAAATTCCAGCTTATTCAGCTTTTCCTTTGATTCATCCAAGGATTCCAAATGTTGGCTCTTCCCTGCTGAAAAGAAACAACAAAACCACCCACGGGAAGATCATGGAAAATTTGCCTCCCTGACCTTCAGGAGGTGGAAAAATCATTTGGATAAAATAAAAAATAAATAAAATAATAAATAAAAAAATAAACTGGAAATTCTGGTTAAGGCTCCAGCTATGAATATTCACTCAGATCCATGGAATAAAGGGAATTCCAGCTGCTGGATGCCAAAGGATGTGAAGGAAGGATGTCTGGAAAAATCCACCAAGCAACCTTTGGGATACAGGAGCAGCTTCCTTCATGGATTCGCTTTTTATTCCGTGGAAACTGGGTTTAATTGAGGGGGGGAAATCATGGATTGAGTTTGGACAAGTGGTGTTAGGATATGGCAATTCCAAAGGGCAGATTCCAGGGATTGGGATTAATGGGCTTCATGGCAGGGTCACCATGGAATCCCCTGGATTTGGGATCTCTCCTGGCTGCTCTCCAAGGGAGAGAAAACCCAGGAATGTGCCCAAAGTGTGGAATTTATCCCGGGATTTATCAATGGATTGGAGTAAGAGCAGGGCATGTATGGAATTTTTGCACCTTCCCTAACTCCCAGTTAAAGGCAGCTCTGTGCTCCCTGAGGTTCCAGGGATGGGATTATCCCTGGGATCCAAACATTCCCCGTGGCACAAAGTGCTGGCCCAGCCTCCATCCAACAGCAGCATCCTTAAAACCTGCAAATCCCAGTTTCCCGAGCCTTTCCCTGCTCCTTGGAACTGCAGCCAAGGCGGGAGAGGCTGATTTCATTCCCGGGATTTATTCCATGGATAGTTTATCCAGCTCCATCCCCTCGCTCACCTGGAATGCCTCAGCTGCTCACCTCACCCCGCTCCTGGTTTTCCTGGATCGTTCATTCCCGCCCGTTTGGGTGTTGTTTGGATAACTCCATGGAAATCTGGCGCGGTTGCCATGGGATGGGCGACGCTCCGGGGTTTCTGTGTTCCCTCTCCCTTTCCCGCTGCAATCCCGTAACACTTAATCCTCCCTATCTGCCCATCATTCCCTGGAAAGTCACGGCAGGTGAAGCTGTCCCCGCTGGCTCCCTTCTCCTGAGCCTTTAAGCCCTGGATCCCGTTCCTGACCTCAGCCGGGAGTCATCCCAAATCCTGGATGTATCCCATTCCCTCGGCCTGGGCTGAACCTGCAGGGCTTTCTCCAACAGGAAAAGCAGCAGCCCTCGGGAAAAGCTGGGAATGAGCAATCCTGGACGGTGGGGATGGGAGATAACGGAGGAATTCCCATCGGGATTTGACCCTGGATGCAAACACAGCCCAGCCCTGGAAGTGCAGTGACCTGGGGATCACCAGGGAAGGGTTTTCCCTTCACCTTCCATGGATCACCTCTCCTGGCTGGGATTTGGGTTTGGAATCCTCCAACTCCCAACCCTCTGGGATGGGAGATCCAGGACTGCAGCCCCCACTGCTCCGGAGGATCCCTGTTTGATATTCCAGAGGGAGATCTGGGGCTTTTCCTCCCTCTGCTCCAGAGGTGAATCCCACCATGGTTTTCCCTGGAGAATCTGTTGGAAAAATAAAGGATAAAAACCTCTCCAAGGCCTCAATGAATTTATCCTCTCACGTCTTCTCCCAGCAAAATGAAGAACCCTGGAATGGTTTGGATTGGGAAGGACTCAAAGCTCATCCCATTCCAACCCCTGCTATGAGCAGGAACAGTTTCCACTATCCCAGGCTGCTCCAAGCTCTGGCCACTTCCAGGGATGGGGCAGCAATCCTGGGCACAATTCCCACATCCAGGAGGAACAACAGAGCCGGGCAGCACAAATCCCGTGCACAATTCCTGCTTCCAAGAGCCAGGCAGCACAAATTCCATACACAATTCCCACTTCCAAGAGCCAGGCAGCACAAATTCCATGCACAATTCCTTTTTCCAAGAGCCAGGCAGCACAAATCCCGTGCACAATTCCCGCTTCCCCAGAGCAGAAGCGCTGGCTCTGGGAGCTGCAGTGACAGCAGCTCCCCTGGGCAGGGTAATTAATTAATTATGCATTCCCAGAATTAATGAGAGCATCCTGTTTGCACCCCTGTCCCGTTTTTCCACATTTTCCAGCCCCATATGCCGGGTGCCAGACAGGGCTGACGGCCCCGCATCCCACACTTGGAATTATTTTATTTCCCGACGTGTCTGTGCCTGGCTCCTGACAGGAATTGGAGGCATTTCCATGGAATTAATTCATGGCACTCAATGGTGCTTGGATTTTTCCAGCACGTTTTCAGGGAGGGGAAAAGCAGATCCGTGGATTTCAGACCTGATAAAGAAACCTGGAGCTGAGCTGGGCCAGGAAATGGGGATGGAGGGTTCTGCATCCCTGGCATCACGGGATCGCTGAGGTGGGAAAAGACCTCTGAGGGCACTGAGTCCATCCCTGTGTCTTCTCAGTCCCAGAAAAATTCTGACTTAAAAGGGATGAAAACACAGAAAAACAGGGAAAAATGATCTGGTGGAGGAATTGGTTTGGATTCTTCCTTACACGGGAAAAGGGAGATGATTCCAACATGATTCCCTGGGAATTCACAGGCTCTGTGCTGGGTTTAGGATCAGCAAAACCCCAAATCCAGTGGGAAAATCCTCAGTTTCCTGCACATGGAAATTCACTCCTGAAATGGCCTTGGGGTGGCTGAGATTGCAGCGTTCCAGCCTGGAGCCAGCAGAGAGGGATTTGTTTCCAGAAGGATCCAGAGAGGAAGCGATTCCTCGGAGAGCTGATTTTAATGTGATTTTCCCTGGAAATAGCATTAGGCTGTCATTCCCAATGTCTGGCAGGAATTGTCGGGTGCCCAAATCCCCGCAGCAGCTTTTGGCTGGAATACAAATGCAGCCGGGGAGGAAACATCCACAGGTTTGGGAACAGGGAAGCAAATCCCTCCTCATCCCACGGATCCAGCTCATCCTTCCTGTTTGCCCATTCCTGAGTGGATGAACCTCTTCCCACATCTCTGCTGGGGCCAAATCCAGCCCTGCAAGGACACAAATCCAGAGATTTTCCTACAGGAAGGTCCTCCCCCATCAGAATCCCAGGGATTTTTACAGGAAAACTTGGGAGAGAACAGGGAATCTCCCAATATTAAACAAGGAAAAGTTGCTGAGGGCAGAGGGCACACACGGATTTCGCCTTTCCAGGTGTTGCCACCTGGATTTTGGGAACTGCCATTCCCAACCTGTCCTGGTTGAGGGAATCACCATTCCTGACCTGTCCTGGCTTTGGGAATCTCCTTTCCCAACCTGTCCTGGCTTTGGGAATCGCCATTCCCAACCTGTTCTGACTTAGGGAATCGCAATTCCTGGCCTGTCTTGGTTTAGGGAATCGCCTTTCCCAGCCTGTCCTGGCTTTGGGAATTGCCATTCCCACCCTGTCCTGGCTTTGGGAATTGCCATTCCCAGCCTGCAGGGAGGGTGTGGAAGGCCAAAGTCTCCATCCAAGCTTTTAGCCGGGATTGCTCCCTGGCTTGGAAGCTCTCTCTGTTTGTTTTCCCATTTTCCCCTCCCATCTCCTGCATTTCCTCCCAATCCTTGGGAGCGGATAGATCCTTGCTGGAGTCATTAAATCCCATTCCACTCATCCAGAGGCAATCCATTAGCCTGATTTGTTGCCTGGTTCCCTTATCGGCCTCGATGTTATCTCGCCGTTCCTGTCGTAAATCCCAAGTTTCCTCCTGGAGAGAGGAAGGGAAGGGTTTGCCCAAGGCACCGGTGCCTGTTGTTATTCCCAAGAAAAATCCATCCAGAGGGATGAAACCACACCCAAACAAGCTCTTCATCCCCAGAATAGGCTGGGAGGAGATGGGAATGAGGGATTGTGGCATTCACGGGATAGAGGGAGAGGAGGGACACAGAGCAGAGGAGGCTGAAGTTGGATTTCAGGGATTCCAGCCTTGGAAAAGGGATTTTGAAAGGTGTCAATGGGAAAATCTTTGGATATTCAGCTTTTAGAGATTCCAATTAATTCCCCAAATAAAGACCTCGGCAGGTTGAGATTCCTGGGGGGTTTTAGGCCATCAGGATCCTGTGGGCACCCTTTGGATTTTGCCCCTGGAATTGATGTAGATTTAATCATTTCCCTCTTTATCCCCAAAATACGCTGGAAGGAGCTGGGAATGTGGGATTGTGACATTCCCGGAATAAAGGGAGCAGAACAAGCAGAGCAGGGGAGCTTTAAGTCGGATTTTAGGGAAATTTCCTTCCCAAATGGGGTGTCCAGCTCTGGAAAAGGGATTTAAAATATGGGAAGTGGGAACATTCAGCTTTGACATATCCCAGTTTTCCCCCCAAAACCTCTCCAGGTTGAGATTCCCCGTTTTTAGGCCATTAGGGATAATTTGGATCCTGTGGATCCCTTTGGATGCTTGGAAAGGTCGTTGTGCCCCTGGAATCGATGTGGATTTAATGATTTCCCTGCTTCTGGCACTGGGATGAGTCATGAGGGCTCTAAAATCCAAACATCTCTCCTGGAGATGTGTTTATTCAGGGATAAAAAATGATGGATTTTTGCTGCTTCCAGGGAGAAAGGGAATTCTCCAGAATTCCATGGATCGAGCAGGTTCTGGGTGGGATTTTTCCAGCCCTGGCAATAATCAGGGAATTTTTGAATTGTCATTTTAACCACTGCAGGGAATGGGAGATGGGAATGAGCCAAAACTGTGGGGAAACTGCTGGATCGGTGAGGAATTCCAGACCATCTGGGAATGCTCCTGCCAGCAGCACTTCCAGCTGGGAATTTGTTCTCCAACCTAGGGATGGGAAAGGGAGGATTTAGAAGTCGGAAAAGGAGGGAAAAAGATGATGGAAAATGATGGAAATTTCCCAGATCTTCCTTTCAGGATGCAGGCTGAGGGAAGCAGGAGCACAGTTGAGGTTTCAAGGCTTGGGATCCATTTTTATCCAGAATTTTCTACTTAAAAATCCCTGTTTTCAGGAAAGGTGGGAGATCTTGAAGTCTGGGATTAATTTAGAGGAAAAGGAGCTGGTGACAGCTTCCTTTTGGGAATTCTTTGGATTAAAGGAGCTAAAATTGTCCCCAGAGATTTTCCAAGGGTCGGTGTGGTGCTTTTAGCTAGGGAATGTGGAAAAGTTATGGAAAAACTCATGGAAAAGAGAGAAACAACCCCAGGTACTGAAAGCAAAATCTTTATTTCATCTACTTTTCCCAAAACTGGGGGAGGTGAGATCCATGGAAAGGTTTTCCTGGCAAGAATTTCCCTGGATTCTTTGTACAAAAGGTTTGGGAAGCAAAGAAGAGACTGGGAAAAAGGAAAATAAGGAATGGGATAAAATGATGGAATTTTGCTGCATGCACCATGGTTCTATCCATGATTTTTTTAGGAGAAAAAAACCCAAATCCCTAAAAATCACTGCTTGATGAAAAGCTCCATTTCCTTCCCAGTTTTTCCTTCATTTTCCAGAAATGATGGTGCTCCAAGATGGTAATTTCTGGGGGAAAAAAAAAAATCCCAAATCCCTAAAAATAAAAATAATTTTAAAAAAATCCTTTTCCTTTCCAGTTCTTTTTTCCATTTTCCAGAAATTATGGTGCTCCAAAATGGAAATGTCCAGAGGGGAGCACAGCCTGAAATCCCAGCTTGGAAAATCCCAAATTCCCACTGTTTTGTTCCAATTCCCAGACGGGTTGGATGTTCTTACGGGAAGTTTTTCTCCGGAGCTTGTGGTGGTACCGAGTTCTGTTTCCCTGGAAAAGCTTTCCCAAATCCATGTGCTGCCATTTCCCTAATTCCACCATTCTGCTGGAATCATGAGAAAAAATTTTGGCAAATTTTTGGGGATGTTCCTGAGGGTCTTTACAGGGAGCTGGGAATCTTCTGGAATTCTTGTGCAGGTGGAACAGTTCCCTCCATGGGATGGGGGAAAACCACCCTTCAAATATTCCAAATGGGACAGGAGACGCAGAGCAAAGCGAAATTTTTGCTCTCAACATGGCAGAATCTTCCAGGATGTTCCTGAGGGTCTTTGCAGGGATCTGGGAGCCTTCTGGAATTCTTGTGCAGGTGGAACAGTCACCTTCATCCACACAGGGGTGGAGAACCACCCTTCCAAGGGCTACAGAAATTCCAAATGGAATGAGGGATCTGGAGAAAGAAGGGAAAGTTTTGCTGCCAACCTGGCAACTCTTCAGGGGTGTTCCTGAGGGGCTGCACGGAGAGCTGGAAAACTTCTGGAATTCTTGTGCAGTTGGGAGAGTCCCCTCCATCCATAACGAATGGGAAAAACACCATTCCAAGGGCTACAAATATTCCAAATGGAACGGGAGATGCAGAGAAAGAAGGGAACATTTTTGCTGTCAATCAGACAAACTCCAGGGATGTTCCTGAGGAGCCACAAAGGGAGCAGGGAACCTTCTGGAATTCTTGCACAGCTTAGATCCACCACGCAGCTGTGGAAAACCAGCTCTTCCAGGGCTACAGCCATTCCAAAGGGAATTCTAGAGGGAAGACACCGCTGGATGAGCCGAAGCTTCGCCCTGGAGCCGAGGAGCTCCTACTCCAGGGCGGGTTTGATCAGGTGCCCGTTGAAGATGACGTAAACATCCGACTCCTCGCTGTAAATGGCGTTTTCCCGCTCCCTCTTGAACATCCGGATCCAAACCTCATCCCCTTCCTGCAGATCCAGCATCAGGCTCTGGCTCTGCATGATGCTCCTGTCGCTGGGCTGGGCGTACAGGATGGCCGCCGCCTGCTCGTTCCTCATCAGGTGCACGTAGGTCTCCTTGAAGTTCCAGGTGTGCACGTTGAGGCTGAAGTAGTAAATCCCTGGAACGTAGCAGAAGAACTTCCCGGAGAACATGTTGAAGTGCTGGTAGAGGTTGACGAATTCCGTGTCGAAGGTGACGTGCTGGAAGTAGTCGGAGCTGTGCAGGGGCTTGCGACGGCCCACGGAGAAGGCGGCGAAGAGCTGCTTGCAGGAGTGGCCCTGGGGGCCGGGCTGGCCCTTCTGGCCCTTCCGGCCGCTCAGGCCGCGGGATCCTCGCTCTCCCGCCTTCCCGGCTGCTCCGGGGAATCCCCGCTTGCCCATCTCGCCCTTCTCGCCTGCCAGGGTGAGGGAAAAGCGGGTGAAATGCCAGGGTGGGAGGCCAGGGTTCCTGGAGATGAGCAGCGGAGGAGCTGCTGGGGCTTTGTTTGCCCAGCCTGGGAATATTGGTCAGGTATCGGCAGCTTCCTAATTCCCAGAGGAATCAATCTGGGAATATTGATCGGATATCAGCACCTTCCCAATCCCCAGAAGGATTAATCTGGGAATATTGATCCGATATCAGCACCTTCCTAATCCCCAGAAGGATTAACTTTGGGAAATATTTGGGCACCCCACATTTTGGGGACCTTTTGACTTTGTTTTGGGCACCCCTTGACCTCCTTTTGGGCACCTTTGGGCACCACCACGTTTTGGGGACACCCTTTGATTTTGTTTTGGGTACATTTTGGGCACCCCTTGACCTCATCTGGTCACTTTGGGGCACATTTTGAGCATCCCTTGACCTCGTTTTTGGGGCACATTTTGGGTACCCCTTGACCTTATTTTTGGCACTTTGGGGCACCCCTTGACCTCGCTGTGAATTTGGGGCTGAGTTTCGCTGTAGGGAAGGACCAAGGAAGAGCAGCGAGGAGAAGGCCGGGGGTGAGCCACACCCACCTTTGAGGATGGTGATGTCGATGGTGGGCTGGATTTTGGGCAGGGAATATTGGGGATCGCCGCTCATCCTGGCGGACCTTTGGGAGAAGATGGACACGGGCTGCTCCGAGGGCCCGCAGCACCTGACGCACGAGAGGCGCCGCCTGGGCAGAGCCTTGTCCGGCTGGGATCCGGCATTCCCGGCGGAAAGCAGGAGCAGCAGGATCACGGCGCTCATCCTCAGGAGCAGCTGGAGAGGAGAGGGAACACAAACCATTAACGGGGCGATCCCAATCAGGGCCACCTGGCCGGTGCTTTCCTTGGGGTTAATTATTAACGGATCCTGGAGTGGCGCCGGGAGACTCCGGGTGGGAATGGTGCCCCTCGGAGCGCCGGAAAAGGCAATTCCTGGCTGGAGTTACCTGTGACAGCTGCCAAGGGACACCAGGTCAACAAAACAACGGGGACAAAAAAAATCACAAGCCAAATAAAACCTGCTGGGAGCAGAAACTCCGCTGGAAAAGCTCTTGGAACAACCCCTATGGGAAATTTCTGCGGAAAAGGCAAAAGCGATGGTTTATTTGGTGCCTCAGTATCCCAAAAAATCCAAATTAAGGGCAAAATATGGAATTTTTAAATTTATTAAATATATTTAATAAATATTTAAATATGGCTCTATTTAAATAATGAGCCAAAACCTGATTTTTTGGGTGAGGAAGAGCCCAGAAGGAAAACAAAGCAAAAAGAAATAAAAATTTCTATCTTTAAATCTTCTCCAGCAGCCTCTGGTTTATCCATTCGCATATTCCCTTCCAACCAGAATTCCTGGGTGTATTTTCCAGTTGGATTTTCCCATGTGTGGAATGGGAACCCAAAGAGCTGCACCAAACTGGACCGAAGTGGGATTTGCTCTGCACAAACCCTGGGGTTTGGGAATCCTTTGTTAGATTTTCATCTGCTCCTAGTGAGCTCCAAAGGTTCTGGATGCTGGGAGAAATCCAAGGACAAAACGTCTCAGATGGTGAAAATAGAGGAATTTTCACTGACCTGGTTCTAAGGAAAATTGGAGATGGTTCTGGGAGAAAATTCCTCTTTTTTCTCCATCTGAGGCATTTTTTCCCTGGATTTCTCCCAGAACCAGCTCTAATCCCTCCCCAGGAACAGGTGAAAAGAAGAGGAATTTTCTCTGGCTCCTCACTGACCTGTTCCCAGGGAAGGATTGGAGCTGGAGATTGGACACTCATTCCCATTCCATGTGTAATTAGTGTCATTCCACTGATTGCAGTGGAGCCTCATCCAGGACAGATTTCTTGGATCGATGCCTCCGTGGATCTTCTCCAAAGCCCAATTAGTGAGATGGACTCGGGCTGACCTTGGGCTGGGAATGGCTCCTCTTCCACCAGCTGGAATTCCTGGAATTGGTTGGGAAGGGGGTGCTGGGTGGCCTGGAATTCATTGGAAATCCAGGATTCATGGATTGTATGGATTTCATTCCATGGACACCAAGAGGGAGGGAAGGAGGGAGAGCTTCCAGCCTTGGAGCTGCTTCCCTGGGAACAAAATGAGCTGGGGTGGGGGAGAAAGGAGGAAAATCCTGCCAGGAGTGGGATTGGAGCAGCATTTCTGGGAAATGTTTTCTTCCCGTTCTTCCCTGCTCCAAAATGAGTGTCAGTCACACCTTTCCAGCTTCCTGGAAATCCAAGAAATTCTTACTGGGAAGAAAAGAATGATTTTCCCTCTGAGAGCAGGGAATGTTCTTTCCTGAAATCCATCAGAACTGGAAGTACCTTTGGATTTGTAATTGTACCTCATTCCAGTGGAAGGAGGGATCAATCCCCCTTTCCCACCAGCATTCATGGCTTGAATTCCATGTATTTCAATCCTTTTTAATTTCCATTAATTTTTAAAGCCGTCTTTGAGTTTCCAACCGGGAATGGAAACATGGGAAGATTAAATGGGCAGAAAATCCTAAAAACCAGCCCGGGATGAACTGGAGGGTCTTGGAGGGTTTTCCAACCTCAGGAATTCCAGGATTCCCTGAGCCACACTCTGAATTCCTGCTGATATTTTCCTTCCCGTTATTCCTAGGGCTTCACTTGGAAAAGAAATCCATGACCACCCTTGCCTTAAATTCATGGACAACACCAGGTGCCTCCCCTTTGAATTCGGGACAAACCTGGATGAAAACCCCGCAGTGAAACCCAAAACCTCGACGGAAAACTCACGGATGTGCCAGCCCCAAAGCTCAGCGTCATTCCAGACAGGGAAAATATCCCAGTTGTGCCTTTTTACCTTTTATCTTCTCCCCAGCCTCAAGCTCCTCACGGCTCCGGAGCTCCTTGGATCGAGAGCAGCAGGAAACGAGGCATCCTCAGGGCAGGGATTGTCCGGACACTGCGCTTCCTCTTGGAAAGGATTTCTCCGGGATTTGTTTAATTTTTCTCCCCCAGGAGGATCTAAAATTTCTTCGTGGGCAGCTCCTTGTGGAAAAGCCCAAAACACTGGAGGATTTTGTGCGTTTTCCAAGGAAAACGCTGCTGGATTCCGGTGCCGAGCTCCGGCAGCTCCTGTCGGACAAAATATCCCGGAGATCCTTCAGGAGCTGCTCGGTGCCAGAAGTGGTTTGAGATCTCCCAGGAATCTTTGCATCCCAAAAAGGGAGTGGGTTAGGAATTCCCACTGCCTGTTGTGATGTCTTCCTCCCGGGGAGTTTATCCAACCCTGGGATGGTGGAAAAGAGGGGCTGGAAGTGCTGCAGGAGTGGAGGGAAAACCGGGATCCAGCCACGGAGAGATCCAGGAGTGGAGCTGCATCTGGATTTGCAATGCCTGGGTGAACATTTGTCCGGGAATTTGCAGCTCCTTTCCCAATTATCCGGTTTATTTTAAATTTTCTGGTGCTTTTTTAGCCTGGGCCCTTTTCCAGTGGGGGCAATTCCCTGAATTCCTCCCTAAGCAGCAATTACCGGGGTGATCACCTGCTGGGAATTCTCTGGGAATTCACCAGGAGTGGGAAGAGATGAAATTCCCAAGGAAATATCCCTGCACACCTGGAGGATTGGATGGATTTAACCCAATTCCATGGGGCTGTGCCTGGATTCCTGCAAATTCCCAAAGTTCCACGCTGCCCTAGCAGGAGGATGCTCCCGATTCCAAGGGAACAGCTTTTCCCTTCTCTTTATCCCAAGGTTCCACCCTGCCCTGGGACAGGGAGCAGGAGGTTCCTGATTCCCGAGGGAATACAGACAAGGAGCACGAGAATGTTCCCAATTCCCGAGGGAACAGATTTTCCCTTTTCCCTTTATCCCAAGGTTCCACCTTGCCCTGGGACAGGGAGCAGGAGGAGGTTCTGGATTCCCGAAGGAATAGACAGGGAGCAGGAGAATGCTCCCGATTCCCAAGGGAACAACTCTTCCCTCTCTCCTTCTCCGTGTCCCTGCCCGCAGCTCTGACCCCTGCAGTGTCCTGGAATTGTCCCTGCTCCAGGCTGGGCGGCTCCCTGGCAGAATTCCCGGCTCCCGAGCCGGCGCAGGCGGTGATTCAGCAGGAATTACAGTAAAAGTCATTCCCAGGGCAGCTTCTCCCGCAGGACAAACCCCGCCGATGGAAGTGGCCGGCATCGATCCCTCCTTCACCCTTCCCGATGGAAAAGCAGCTTTCCCGGGATTTGCCAGTGCTGGGAATTCTGCCAGGAGCCGTCGGGGTTGTCCCGGGTGGGATTTTCCCAGCAGGATGCGGTGCCTGGATCCCGGCCGGCCGCGCTCCCATCCCGGAGCCAGCGGCACATTCCAAAGCGCTGGAGGAGCGCAATTCCCTGAAAGTTTCCACGCCTGTGGAGACTCCAGGAAACGGCTCCTTCCTGCCCCGTCTCCCTCCGTGGATCCACACGGGATCCATCCCCATCCCGCTGGGAAAAGCCCCCTCCTGGGGTGTCCGGGGTGGATAACGGGATAGGGAATTTTTATTGGGACAGATTCCAGCCCAGCACTTCCAAACCCCTTCATTCCTGCTTCTCCCAAGGAATCCGCTGGGCAGGGTGGGAATGCTGTGATCCCACAGGATCCCTTTATCCCGATGCCTGTAACTCACCTCGACCCTCAGAATCCCTGGATTTTCCTTGCCCAGCTCTTCCCCAGCTGCCGTTCTCCGGGCAGGCTGCAGCCTCCGTGCTGGGATCCAAGAGAAACACAGAAAGTCAGGAAGGATCCTTAGGAAACCTTGGAAAAAGGAATTTTTTTTATTCCCTGGTTTTCTTTGCTTGCACCAACTTGTGCCGGGCTCCTGCGCCTTTGTCCCACTCCGGTTTCCTCAGGATTAGCTGCCAGTCTGGAATTCTGCAGGGCCTCTCCCAGGGATGGAAATAAAAAGTGAAAAAAAAAATTGGGATAAAAAAAATAAAAATAAAGGATGAAAAAAACTCCACCACCGAACCCAAAACCACATCCAGAGTCCCAGCCAAGAGGGAAAATGCTGGGATCACATGGAAAGAATTTTTCTTTGGGAGTTTTCAGCATCTTTTGAAGCTGGAGAAAGGAAAAAAAGATAAAAACAGAAGCCACAATAAAATCTCTGGGATTTGTGCATGAGCTGGAAAAGCGGGAATGGCTTCCTGCTGAAAGAGGGGAGACGTAGATGGGATATTGGGAAGGAATTCTTCCCTGGGAGGGGCTGGAATGGATTTCCCAGAGAAGCCAGGGCTGCCCCTGGATGCCTGGGAGTGCCCAGGGCTGGGCTGGATGGGGTCTGGAGCAGCCTGGGACGCTGGGAATTGTCCCTGCCATGGGACTGGATGAGCTTGAAGGTCCCTCCCAGCCCAAAACATTCCAGAATTCCATGATTTTCATGCCCACGCTCTTTTCGGTCACCTTCTTGGGAAAAGCACTTTGGGGATTTATTTAAAGTCACTTTGGGCTCTGAATTTATTTTTCTCTCCCTTTCCCTTTCCCTTTCCCTTTCCCTTTCCCTTTCCCTTTCCCTTTCCCTTTCCCTTTCCTTTCCTTTCCTTTCCTTTCCTTTCCTTTCCTTTCCTTTCCTTTCCTTTCCTCTTGCCCTCGGTGTTCCCAGTTCTCCCAGTGTTCCCAGTTCTCCCAGTTGTCCCCACAGCTCAGCCCTGGAGCGGAGGTGGGGCTGTTTCCATGGAAAAGCTGACACAGCTTTTCCAAATAAAAGAAGGAAAACAACCTTTAAATCCATGGGTGGAACCGGGAGGAATAAAGGGAAAAAAAAAATCCTTGGTGGAGGAGTTTTGTCAGGAATGGTTTGGAATTGGTAGAGTTTAATGAAAGGAGAAGGTGATTAATTTTTTTAATGAAAAAAAATATTTTTAAATAGAAATTAATTAAAAAATTGAAAATAAATAATTATTTTAACAAGGAAAATATTTTATGAGCACAATATTTTATGAATAAAATTGTTTTAGAAATAAACTAATCGTAGAAATAAAATAGTTTTATAAATAAAATGGTTTTATAGAGAAAATGTTTTTATTAATGGCAATATTTTTCAAATAAAAAATGAAAATTTAATTTATAATTCAGAAATCTGCATCCCAACTGACAGTGAGAGAAATTATGGAATGTTGGAGTGAAATAAAATATTTTTATAAATAAAA